CTCCAAAGAAGATATATGGATGGCCCATATATCATCACCTTACACCCGTTAGAATGGCCAAAATAACCAAAACAAAAAATGACAAATGTTGGAGAGGTTGTGGAGAAAAAGGAACCCTCATACACTGCTGGTGGGAATGTGAACTGGTGCAGCCACTATGCAAAACAGTATGGAGATTTCTCAAAAATTAAAAATAGAAATACCATATGACCCAGCCATCCCACTACTGGGTATCTATCCAAAGAACTTGAAATCAGCAATTCAAAGAGACCCATGCACCCCTATGTTCATTGCAGCATTATTCACAATAACCAAGACATGGAAGCAACCTAAGTGCCCATCGACTGAGGACTGGATAAAGAAGATATGGTGTATACACACACACACACACACACACATACACACACACAATGGAATACTACTCAGCCATAAAAAAGGATAAATTCATCCCATTCACAACAACATGGATGGACGTTGAGGGTACAATGTTAAGCGAAATAAGCCAGATAGAGAAAGACAATCTCTGTATGACTTCACTCATATGTGGAAGACAAAGAAACACGTGGACAAAGAGAACAGATTAGTGGTTACCAGGGAGAAAGGGGGTTGGGAGGTGGGCATAAAGGGTGAAGTGGTACACCACAATGTGACTGACAAATAATAATGTACAACTGAAACTGAAATTTCACAGGGTTGTAAACTATCACAACCTCAACAAAAAATAAAATAGAGAAAAAAAAAGCAACTACTATATATATATATATATATATATATATAGTTATTGAAATTAAAATCCCAATGGACAAATAGTATGAGACACAATTGTAAAGAGAATTAGCGAACTGGAAGAGAACTTTGAGATATTTTCAAAAATTAGGACAAAGACGTAAAAAAAGGAAAAATATGAAAAAAAGATATGAAGAGCAGAAGGAGAAGGTCCAACATACATATAATAGGAGTCCAAAAGTAAGAAAAGAGAAAAAAAGGAAGAGACAATATTTGAAACATAAGGGCTGAGAATTTCCACAACTGATGAAAGGCATCAATGTCCAGTTTCAGGAGTCACAAGTTCCAAGCAGGAAAAATGAAAAGAAGTCCATACTTGGGCACACGATAATGAGAACTTCAAAGATAGAGATAATCTTAAGAGTTATAAGAGAAACAGAGATTTAACTATAAATAAACAATGAAGACTTATAGTTTATTTTTAATGGCAAAAATGGAGGCCAGAAAACAAGTGGATATATGAATCTATCTATCTATCTATCTTGTTGTGCATTTTCTTTTTCTCTTTTCCCCCCTTTTTAATTTAAATACAAGTTTGATTGTAGGTTAACTTTACAGGTTAGTCTTTAGATAACAGGATATTCAGGTGGGACTGTAACTAAATTTGGGAAGTAATTAATATAGCTCAGAGATGGTATGACTGTCTCCCAGAGACAGACTATTGGAAGTTTGCTTCTCCTCATTCTGGGGAGACAGTGAGGACGTCTTCATTTGTATGAATAGTTGCATCTTATTAGTTGGAAATATAGACTTGTTTTGTTGTTATATGGAAGTTAATTTCAAACATATGTAGAAGGGTCTGTAGCTGAGTAGCCAAAAGTGTAGACTGTTCCAGCTATTTAGTTATCATCTCTCAGCTCCAGTCCTCCCCTTCATACTCTGCTTTCTGATGCTGAGACTGGGACGCTGTAAACTACATTTCTGTCTTGACAGCTGGCTCCATACTAAATTCTGCCAAAAGGGCGTGCTAGAGAGAGAGAGAGTCTGAAAGACTGGTAGATGAAGTTCCTTCTGTAGCAGCGGCTGAATCCAGTTTTCGCTTTTTTCCGCTTTGTGGAACCAGTTTCATTACACTCTCTTCAGGGATACTAGCAGCAGACATCAGAGTTCTAAGGTAACATAACAGTCTACAAGTCTAGACTTAGTCAAATCATGATTCAAGGATGAGTATAAAATGAAGATATTTTCAGACAAAGACTGACCCTTGTTGAAATTACTAAGAAAGATATACTTTGGGAAGAATGAAAGTGAACCCAAAAAAGAGAAGTAAGAAGCAATGGTGAGCAAAGAAAGTGGTGTGCTTAAATTTTGTTGAAGATTGGATTTAAATTGCTCTACTCTTGCTTTCAATACACTCATTGGCAAAACTCTATTCCTGGTTAAGTCCAAGCTTTTGCTTACTCTGTGCCTGCAGCCATGCAGCTGAACTAGAACTGAAGTGAACTATGTTGACTGTTCTTATTTTAAACTGATGATCGTGAACCTCAAGAGGGTCCTTAATTCTGCTGGGCAATCACACTATGATTTGCTACTTCATTAACTTTCTCGCTCTTCTTGCTGACTACTTCAAATCTTCTCTTTTCAAACCACCACTTCCTCCTTTTCCATTTGATCACAACTTCTTTTATTTCTTCAAATAAAAATAAAAAAGCCTTCTCTTGGCACCACTTTCACCAATTTACTTTCCCCTTCATTCCACTTCTTTACTCTCTTTTGCAGCAAAATTCCTCAGATATTCACACTTTCTAAATCCTATCCTCCCATTTCCTCTTAAACTCACTCCGGTCTGGCTTCTTTTCACCCTCACTGAAATTTCTCTTTTGATATCGCCAGTGTCCTCCATGTGGCTACATGCAATGGTCAATTCTCAGTTCTCATCTTACTTGATCAGCAGCGTTTGACCGTGTTGATTTGCCCTCCTGGCTGGTATTTATAGCAGATCCTGCAGGTGTCCCGATCACATCTCTTTAACCCTTACCATTTCACTGCATGCTATCCCAACTTTCAATTGCTGGATTCAGTTCAAATCTCTTTGTTTGAGAGATTTCTTTGGCTGCCAGTTTTTGCTTTGCCTATGCTTAGCTGGCTGGAAATGCCAGTAGAGTAATATTGCCTCCTTCTCCCTTGAGCAGTTCTCGACCAACGACTGATAGGAGTTGGTGTAAAAATAACTTAGTTTCCTCAATCCTCTCTGAGGCTGTGTTCTATACCATTTCCCAGATATTCCCCAATGGGATTAAGTTCCAGTTACCTTCAATGGTAACTTGGTTGATAAATACAAACTTTATTCACTGCTTTCGTCCATGTCTTGCCTCTCTATTCCCCTCTGTGTTTCCTGGGCTCATCTCCCAAGTAAACTACCTGCATGCATAATCCTTATCTCAGGATTTGTATCTGGGGGTACCCAATCTAATATAATGTCCTTTATTTGGCTCTCAGGACACCATATTCTCTTGGTTTTCCACCTACGTCACTCGCCATTCCTTCTTGGCCTCCTTTAATACCTCTTAATGTTGATGTGTTCCAGGACTCACTCCTTAGTTCTTTTCCCTTATCCATCTATACTCACTCCTTGGGTGAATTCATTCAATCTAATGGCTTTAAGTACCATTTATACACCTATGGCTTTCAATTATATATTTTTAGCCAAGATATTTTCCTTGAATTTGTGACTGTCTAGTAGCTTTGAACTTGACATCTCTATTTCGGCATATGTTAGATATCTCAAAATGTCCCAAACTGAACTCCTAATTTTCTTTCAGCCAACTTCTATTTCCAGCAATTTTCTCCATCTCAGTTAATGGTAAGTCTATCCTTTCAGTTGTTCAGGACAAAAATTAGAATCATTCTTGACTTCTCCCTTTATCTAGTACTTTATATCTAATCCATCAGGAAATCCTGTTGACTCTTTTTATTATTATTTTTTATTGAGATATAATTGACATGTAACATTATATTAGTTTCAGTTATACAGTATAATGATTTGATATTTGTATATATTAAGAAATTATCACCACAATAAGTCTAGTTAACGTCCATTATTACAATGACCCCTTTTAAAATATATCCAGAATCCAACGACTTTTCATCATTTTCATTGCTTTCTACCCTGTATGAATCACCATCACCTCTAGCACAGATTACTCTAAAAGCCCCTTAAATCGTTTCCCTCTCCTTACCTTTGGTTTCTTCCCCTCCACTCCCCCTCCCCATCTATTCTCCATACAGAATCCAGAAAGATCTGAAGAAAATATAGATCAGATCATATCATGCCTCTGCACTAAACCCTGCAATGACTTCCCATTTCTCACAGAAAAAAAGCTCAAGTCCTGGCAGGGCTTTCATGGCCCTGACTAATCTTACACCCATCACCACTCACTTCTTATCTCCTTTTACTTTTTTCCTTACTTACTGAGCTTCAGCTACATTGGCCTTCTTGCTGTTCCCTAAATACTCCAGGCATGCTCCTGCCTTCGGGCCTTAGTCCTTGTCCTATCTGCTTGCAACACTCTTTTTCTAAAAGTTCCTACATGGCCAAAATCCTCACCTCCTTCAAGTATTTGCTCAAATGTCACCTTCTCAGGGAGGCCTGATTATCTATTAAAACTACAAGTGTCCCAACATACCTGGCTCTCCCAGTCCCTTTGCTCTAGTCTACTTTTCTTTTTTCTTTTTGGTGAGGAAGATTGGCCCTAAGCTAACATCTGTTGCCAATCTTCCTCTTTTTGCTTGAAGAAGATTGCCCCTGAGCTAACATCTGTGCCAATCTTCCTCTATTTTGTATGTGGGACACTTCCATAGCATGGCTTGATGAGTGGTGTGTAGGTCTGCACCGGGGATCTTAACCTGTGAACCCCAGACTGCTGAAGTGGAGTGTGGCAACTTAAGCACTATGCCACCGGGCTGGCCCCTTCATTTTTTTCTATATCATTTATCACTGTCTAACATACTATATAATGTACTTATTTATTACATTTATTGTTTATTGCTTGTTTCTTCTGCAAGATTGTAAGATCCATGGGGAGGCAATGATCTTTGTTCTGTTTACTGATATATCCTAAGTGCCTAGAACAATGCCTGGCATGTAGTAAGTGCTGAATAAATAGTTGTTAAATGAATGAATGAAGGGAGAAAAGACTATCGTGTTAAAAATATAGTTCCATATAAAACTTTAAGACCACGTAATATAATCCTCATTGTAACATGTCACTCACCTGCAACATATTTAACTTCATCCATCAACATATTTAAATCAATCTTCCCATTATCTTTAAGATAAAAAAAATCACAAAGAGAATGAATTAGCTTTAAAACCAGTATACCAGGTTCATGGACACAGAATTCATCCTTGCTTGTTCTTTTTCTATATCTTTTCAATTATGATAATAGTTCATTGGTATTCTTTTATAGTTTTATACTCTTTTATTATTATTAATATGAATAGTATTATACTGTAACTTTTAAATAGGATAGGAAAGAACCTTTATTGGGTAAAAGTCTGTGCCTGTAAAGGACAAATGCCACGATTCCTTTACTTTGTATGTCTCTAATTACCTCCACCGAGGCCCCTTGGGCCCCTGAAACAGTTTTCCATCCTATCTCAGATGATTTCACAGATGTACAAGGTAGTGCACAAGAATTAGATCAACAGCCTTACACTTTAAATCACTGTCCTGATATCTTTTCTCCTGTTTCAGGATACTAGGAAAACATGATAACCACAAATATCTATATTTATTGCATTGGTAGATTAAAAGAGTGATGAAAGGGATTAAAAAACCAAAGGAAAAGTCATATTTGGAAAAACTGCTTACCTCTTATTAAGGCAAATGTCCCAAGGGCCTAGAACAGTGCCTGACACATCACAGACATTCAATTAAAGGTTATGGAATGAAAGAATGAAAGGTACTTCTGATTTAGACAAGCTCATATTTATTGTTGGATCAATCTTGTATCTTTACTACTTCCTCAAGGGGACAGATATCCTTCAAAATTTTCTGATGAATTTTTCTCAGTTCTACAAGCATAAGAGCAGTCTAACTTTTGCCAAGTTTGATTAATTCAATTGGTAACATTACTATATACCTTCTTAAATTTGTTAATTCTAGTGGTTCATGGCAGTATAGCAGAGTAGTTAAGAAACAGTTTCTGGAGCCAGATTGTCTGCCCACCATTTATTAGCTCTCTGACTTTAGGCAAGCTACTTGACTTCTCCGTGCCTTAGTTTCCTTATATGTAAAATGGCGGTAAAAATGGAACCTACTTTGTAGAGTTGTTTGGAAGATTAGAAAAGACAATATATTTAAAGTACTTAGAAATTTGCCTTGCACATGTCAAGACTATCTAAGTGTTGGTCATTGATTTTTAATGCTGGGTTAGCAGTAGGGACTCAAAGATTAAAACCTTGAGTATTTTCGTTAGACCCTGGCATTTCCTGTGGAGAGTGACACTTGTCACCTATATTGGGCAGCATTCTTGTCAATTTTTCCAAGTTATAGTCATTGGGCTCAGTTTGGTAGCTATGATGAAGGCCTCATTCTTTCTTTTTCTTCTCTTCATATACATCCTATATGAAGTTATTCCAGCCCTGATACTAGCCTCAGGTCCAAAGTTTTGCTAAGAGGTATACTGATATTTAAATCTCTCACCATCAACTGGTAGATGGTCCTTCAATTCCTGGATTTCTTTCTCCTTGAGATCAATTCCCATGTTTTTCATGAAAGTGTCCACTTTATTTGAAGACACCTTCGTCCCTTAGGAAAGAAAAGAATGGGATATGAGAAATATTTGTAATGATGTGAAGAGTGGGCATTCTAGCTCGTGCTTAGGCATCAACACTATATAGAGAACAAAGAGTAAAGAACAATTAAACTATTCAAGTAAATGTGATTTTGGTGTCTAAGTCAGGAATTCCTAAACCCTGATCTGTGGGATTCTGTTATGGATTTTAGGAAAACTTTCAGGAGAAGAAAGTGAGAAGTTAGGGGGATCTGGTGAGTCATGGCAAAGATTAAAATCAACCTTTATAAACTATATGCACAGTAGGATTTGAAACTTGCTAAATTCGTGGAGAGCCAGCCCTGGTGGTCTAGTGTTTAAGATTCAGTGCTCTAACCATCGTGGCCTGGATCCATTTCCTGATCAGGGAACCACAACACCCATCTGTTGGTTGTCATGCTGTGGTGGTTGCATGTTGTTGTGATGCTGAAAACTATGCCACTCGTATTTCAAATACTGGCATGGTCAACCACGGTGGACAAGGTTCAGAGGAGCTTAAAGATTAAGACAGACTAGGAAGAAGGATGTGGCTACCCACTTCTGAAAAAATTGGCTATGAAAACCCTATGAATAGCAGCAGAGCACTGTCCGATATAGTGCCAGCAGATGAGAGGAAGGTACAAAAAAAAATCTAGGCAGGGTTTTGCTCGGTTTTACATAGAGTCCCTAGGAGTCAGAATCAACTTGATGGCACTAACAACAGAAAAATTAACGGAGAACTATAAATCAATCAATCCATCTATCCAACCAGCCAGCCAATCAATGGATTTACTCTATCATAATCCTCTAGGAAACTTTTAATAACATATGTTTCTAGGTACTATCTCTGGAAATTCAAGATCGATATGACTGGAAGGGAGCCTAGTGATCTGAATGCTAAATTGTTTTTTCCCCTAGTGATTCTGATGTACAACTTTTTTTTGGAACCACTGCTTTTGGGTTTACTGTAGTTAAACCATTTTGGTGACTTAATGTGCCTAAAGCATATAAAGAATAAACACTGAATTAATAAACAGGACAGCAGGATTAATAACTTGAAAATTGTAAAATAGGAAGAGTTTTTGAAAATAAAAGCAAAACTCAATGACCCTCGTTTTACCTGCCTTTTCATCATACTTCTCACTCACCTTCAAGAGATGTTAATTCTTTCATCAATCTGTTCATATATACCCTTCCTTTGGCTGTAAGAAAGGGAAAAATTCAAGTCTCAGGCACCAATGTAGCTATTTAAAAATAGAATAAAACATGCATAATTTCATAAACATAGACTTTTAAGCGTTTTATTCTAGAAATTTATGTTATTTCACTTTCAAGAATACAACTCAGGAATGGAAACAGCTCTCAATTTGGTGAAATCATTTTGGTGGTGGTGGGGGCATAGAATATTCCTTAAATAGGGAGTCACAAAAGTCCATATACTCAACTTTCTTTGAAGGCCACTGTGGTTTAAAAAATTTTTTTTTACACTGTGGTATTTTTAATGCTCACCATCAACTGGAAGATTTTTCAGTAGTTTTGTGCCTTTATCTTCTGTGAGCTTTATCCCCATATTTTCCAGAAAAGTTTCCAGGTTACTAGTATCAACCTTCTCACCTTTAAAAAGTAAAACGTGGCAATGGTTGAAAATTTGAAGAATGATGATTCTATATTATAGAAAACGCTTATATGGAATTTGCTGATTAAACATGCAGTAAAGCTGGCAAGAATGCCAGCCATTGCTAAGACATAATGTTAGAGCTTTTTGCCTAAAACAATGATGACGAAATTTAGGCTATGAGTCAGTAGATGCAAACATTCACTAGTAAATAGGTAGTAAATAGGTAGAGTGAGAGAACGCATCAATAAAGAAAACTGCTGTTATAATATAATTTTGTGCAAACATTAAAATCTTGGTTTTGTAGAGTCTTCTTAATTACATATCATGGAACTATACAGGGCTTTTCTCCAGGGGCTTCTTTCTTAACCCAGCCTGGCTCTCTGTCTGCCTCAGGGATTTGGTGGCCTTGCTTTGCTCTTATCTTGGCAGCTACTACCACACAGTATACTTTTTGGGGTTCTGTAAGGGTGGCTAGGAAGTTAGATGCAGTCTTCCCAGCTTGCTTCTTTTTCGTGCTGGGAAAACTAGCACATAGAGATTTTTCATTCTTAGGGCTTTAATGTAAAGTGCTAGAGTGAAACAGACAGGGGATCACCAAACTATCACAAGCATGGGTAAGACACAAAGCTAACAAGTTTGTTTTGTAATGGACTTGGTTTTAGCTCCTGGTTATGAGGGTGGAAAGCACCACTTATCCTTGCCCCCTGAACCGTTTCCCAATCTGTTTGGAGGATGGCTACATGAACCTTTCCTTCACGATGAATCTTCTCCCTAGCTTGCAGATGCAGTTTAGCAATAAAAACAAAATGGTAATCATGTCAGGTGAAGGATGTGTTAACAATTATTGTGATAAACATTTCTCAATATATATGCTTATCAAATTATCACATTGTATACCTTAAACTTACATAATGTTATATATTAATTATATCTCAGTAAAGCTGGGAAAAAAAGAAGCAGTTTAGGTACACAATTTGTATATCCTAGTCATTTCCAATTCTGGCAAAAGAAAACTCTGTGTTTAGTCCTCTGGAACCACCTTGCAGTGCTTCCATTGGGAGGAGAATGTCTGGGAGTTAGCTGATCTTCTGCAGAAGTGCCTGGGGGGAAATGGCACAAGGGTTGTTTTCCCCAAGCTGCTTTGGACCTCTCCTGTGAAGACTTCGACTACAGGAGCTTCTAATATCCCCCTGTAACCAGCCAAGGGAATAACTCTTCAGGCCCAACAGAGCAACTTCCTAGTTGCTAACTTGATCAGGCTTTTAACAGACATGGGCCTTCTGCCTCAAAATTATCAGTCTAACCATCTTCCCATTCTTCGAAATCATTCCCATTCTTCAAAATGTAAGCCTCTTAAAAATGTCTATATTCTCTAATCTATTCTGTGTTTTACCACTCTGATTTTTCTTTCCATTGCTAGTTTTCTTTTCAGCTCTTCCCACAGTGTCCTCTTGGACTCATATTTCATTAAATATGAATTTCTCTATATCTTTAGTCTTTTTACAGACTCTCACCTTCTTTCCCAATTGAACTTTCCCTCTTCTTAATAGACTTTTCTATTACTTTTTTTTTTTTTTGAGAGAAAGCTGCTTATTTTTCTATATCCTACATCCTTTTCTATATCAACAACCTGGCCTCCAAATTATTTAATCTCCTTATCTTCAATGACTAGCTCCTAGATTCCATACTAGTTAACTATCATGGCCATATCCTGGATTTTGTCATCACCTGGAAATGCTTTACCTCTAAAATCTTAAATTCTAACATGCCTAACTAAGGCCAAAACCTCATATTCTTCCACTTCTTTCACTTCCTTACCCCTACCACAGCCATTGTAGTCTCTACAGGGACTTTCATTCCCCTCCTCCCCAATTTTTCCACAAGTTCATAATTTCCATCACAACTTCACTTTCTTCCCTAACCACCCTGGACCACTTGACCACTCCCTTGACTACACATTTAATGTCTTTATTCTTTCATTCTTTTGGCATAACAGCTTTAAGAATTTCCTAATTTGGTCCAATTGAAGAATATCATAATTATATGAAAAGTTGCCATTACTTATTTATGATATCTGACCTTGGCTAGACTCTTGGCACTTCTTAGTAATGCTTTCATATATTCCTCAACAACCCTAGTTCCTATTCCCTATCAAAGTTATCTGAAATCATCAATACTTTCCTTGAAGTCCCCTACCCCACCACTGTGCCCTTTCTTTTAGTGGATAATTCTGTTTTCTACTTTACAGAGAAGATTGAAACTTTTAGGTAACTCCTCTGAATTTTACTCCCACATCTATCCAGATTCTCTATATCTGTATCCTTCCTGACTTAAGGTCTGCTTGTGTCAGAAAAAGAGGTAGCCTCAGATTCTTAGACAGATATTCAACTGCCTAGGGTTCAATTTCCCTTAGATGTCCCACAGGAACCCCAAACTCAATATGACCAAAATGGAAACTTTATCTTCTTTCTTTCTTTTTTTTTTTTTAAGATTGTCCCTGAGCTAACATCTGTTGCTTTTTCCTTTTTCTTCTTCTCCCCAAAGCCCCCAGTTCATAGTTGTATATTCTAGTTGTAGATCCTTCTGGTTGTGCTATGTGAGATGCAGCTTCAGCATGGCTTGATGAGTGGTGCTAGGTCCACGCCGAGGATCTGAACCAGTGAAACCCTAGGCCACTGAGGCAAGTGTGCAAACTTAACCACTCAGCCATGGGGCTGGCCCCAGAACTGTATCTTTACTTCTAAATTTATTTAGCTGAATTCCTTATTTTGGTGAATGTCACTATCACCCACTCAACTATCCAACTCAGAAACTAAGAAGTCCTCCTTTACTCTTTTTGCTCTATCTGCATATCTGATCAGTAACCAACTCCTATAGATTCTATATCTCTAACATCTCCTATATATGTCCCTTCCTCTCAAGTCTCATAGATAACGGTTTAGTTCTGCTCTTTATTGTCTCTTGCTTGTACAGTTGCAGTTTTCTTCCTAACTGGTCTCCCTGATTCTATTCTTGCCCACACACCTCCATCCACCCTTTATACTGCTGCTAGAGTAATCTTTCTAATCTGCAAATTTAATCACACAGGCCTCTGCATAAAATCTTGGAATGACTCTCCACTCCACACAGAATGATATTCACACTCCTTTATTTGGTATTCAAGGCCCTCCATGATTTGTCTCCTATATTAGCTTCCTGTTGTTGCTGTAACAAATTACCAAAAACTTGGTGGCTTAAAACAATACAGATTTTTTCTCTTACTGTTTTAGAGGTTAGAAGACCAAAAATCAGTTTCCCTGGGCTAAAGTCAAGGTGTCAGCAGGGCTGGTTCTTTCAGGGGTCTCTAGTGGAGAATCTGTTCCCTTGCTTTTTCCACTTCTAGAGGCCACTTATATTCTTTGGTTCATTCCTCTTCTTCCATCCAGTGTAGCATCTTGCTTCCATTGTCACATTGCCTTCTACTTTTTCTGTCATCAAATCTCACTTTGCATCCATCTTCAAAGGATACTTGTGATTACATTTGGGGCCCAACTGGATAATCAAGGATAATCACCCCATCTCAAGATCCTTAATCACATCTCCTAAGTCCCTTTTGCCATACAAGGGAACAGTCACAAGTTCTGGGGATGAGGACCGGGATATCTTTGGAGCCATTATTCAGCCCGTTCCTGACTTGTAAGTTTATTCCTTGCCAAACTCTTGACAGCACTTTATTCTCCAGCTATGCCAATTTTTTCTAGTTCCCTTAAAGCATCATACTGTTTCTCATCTTCGTGCCTTTTATAGTTTTTCCTCTTTCAAGAAGGGCCATCCTACTCTGTCTGGCAAAACTGACTCACCTTTCAAGGATCAGCTCATGTGTTGTCCTTTCTATTAAAGCATCTCCCAATCTTTCTTCCTCAGGTGAAAATGACCATTCTGCCCCTTCTTTACTTTGTACAGGTCTTTAAAATAGCATCTATAATGTTTTACTGCAGTTATTTATGTCTTTTTTCTTGCCCCAACTACATAAGCTCCTGGAAGATTGGTTTTTGTAGATCTATACTTGGGATACAGTAGATGCTCAACAATGTGTTAATAAAAATCTAACCTACCTGTAAAAAGATTTACTTTATCCATTACCACACTCATTTTAACCATCCCCTCATCTGTAAGAGAAGACAGAATTTTATGCATAAAAACAATAATATAAATAGAAGAAAGACATAAATGTGATACAATGAAGTAAAACACAAAATTTGCAAATTTTTATGATTTGCTCTAGAATTTTAGCCTATTTTCATTCCAAATGGAAAATGTGGAAAGATAAAGCTCTGATTTTAAAAAGGATACTTAATTTCATACTTCTTACATCACTTTTTATTCTACTAAGATAAACTTCGTATAGTAGAGTGCTAGGCTGACATTTAAAAAGTAGCCTTCTTTGCTTTCAGATCTGGAAGAACTCTGTTTTGTTGATTATAAGGTTGACAAGCATCTTAAAAAGGGCAAATGCTCCAGTAGGAAAGATATGACTTGGAATATTAATAATGCCTATTTCTGTACTCAGTCCACAGGTGACAACTAGCTGTGTTGTTCCACTATACACACTCAATACCAAAAAAGGAACTTTGATCAACTTAATTGAACTTTAATTTAAAAAATTTAAAAATTTTGTATTTTTTAATCTTTACTTTGTAGTTTCCTTTTTTTTTTTTTTTTTTTTTGAGGAAGACTAGCCCTGAGCTAACTACTGCCAGTCCTCCTCTTTTTGCTGAGGAAGCCTGGCCCTGAGCTTACATCTGTGCCCATCTTTCTCTACGTTATATGTGGGATGCCTACCACAGCATGGCGGTTGCCAAGTGGTGCCATGTCCGCACCCGCGATCTGTACTGGCAAACCCTGGGCCGCTGAGACTGGAACATGTGAACTTAACCACTGCGCCACTGGGCCAGCCCCTGTATTTTCCTCTTAAATGGGGTATTTAGAGGGAAGAGCCTCATAGATGGTCAGTGCCTCACAGATAGATGTCTTATCCATTCTCATGTATTTCAATTAGTACCACAGAAGACTTATGAATAGCCTGAAGTAGGTCTCTAATGCTATTTCCTGTGGGCTCATTGACCTGAAAAGTAGTACTCAGGGATATAGTTGATACTTCCACAACCAAAATCACTGTTGAAGCATTCCAGTGAAGTTTCAAGATACCTGGAAAATGGGAAAACAAAAAACATCTACATCCTTTCACAGGCAGATAAAAAATACTGGGAAATTCTATACTTCCAGTAATAAAGAAAAAATTATCCTGTGGAAAATTTAATTTCTTCTGGCCATGGCAAAGGCATAATTAAGTGCCATTGTGTTGAAATGAATGTATATTGGTTGTTACTTTTATAAGTAACAAAAGCTAATATTAAATGCTTACTATGTGTTAAACCCTATGCTAGGAAACTGCAACGTTTATGAAAGGTAGCTATTATTTTCTTTTTAACAAAAGGAACTAAGAATTGGAGGGGTTAATGTGACCAATCTTGCACAATCAGGAATTTTCAAAGCTGAAATTCTAATCTGTGTCTGTCTTATTCCAAATTCCAAACTCTTTCCACAATGCCATATAATCAGCAGAACCAGTGAGATGAATCCCAGGTTTTTGCTGTTTTTCTCAAGTGGGTCGTTATCTTGGAAACTTTTCCTAGTGGATACTTGTAGGTCTCACTATTGTGAGGTCATGCTAACATATGCTAGGCGTGATTGATATATAAAGGCAAATTACTTTGGGAACTATTGCTCTTTTCCATCTTGAGCTGCTTGTTTCTGGTAGTTCAGAATTTACTCTACGTACCTTTTTTTCTATTTCTCTTAATACTATTTTCTTCCTTATTCTATTTGCTTACATTCAAACTTTGCTTATCAAATATTCCCTCCGTTTATTTATTTTTTTGCTTTTCCTTTTGTTTGCTAATAATGTCATCACTGCTTTGGCACATGCTAAGTTTTACAAAATCTGTGGATTGCTAACATCCTAGGTAAAGATAAATGAGATGAATTATTAGAGTATTCATTTCCAACCATCTTCATACATATTTCTAGTTGAATGTACTGTAGGTATCTCAAACTCAACACATCTAAAACTAAAACTATTCTCTTGACATTGTCACCTGAACCTCTTCCTGAATTCTCAAATTGGCTTATGATATGATTTACTTAGCCACCAAGAGATCTCCATCTTCTTAAAATATTTCTTCTTTCTCATAACTCACATGCAATCAGTCACCAAGCCCCATTAATTTAAATTCTAGAATCTTTCCCAAATCAGTCTCTTATCTATCATTAAGTTCACTTCCCTTGCCCAGGCCCACATCATCTCTTATTGCACTATAGCAATATCTTTTAAATTTAAGTCTTTGCTTCCAAAAATGTCTTCTACATTTCCATTGGCATTGACTTCCCAAAGAGAAATACTCTAGATATACCACTGCCTATAGGATGAAGGCTAAAATTGAAGGGAGAAATAGACAACTCAAGTATAATAGTTGGAGACTTCAATATCCCACTCTCAATAATGGATGGAATAACAGAAAATCAGTAGGATAAAAAAGACTGAACAATATTTTCAACCATTGAACATTCTCCAGGATAGATGATATGCTAGGCCATATAACAAGTCTCATCTAGTTTAAAAGGATTGAAATAATACAAAGTATGCTCTCTGACTACAGTGGAATTAACTGAAAATCAACAGCAGAAGGAAATTTGGGAAATCCACAATATTTGGAAATTAAAAAACACACTTCTAAATGACCCATGTATCAAAGGAGAAATCATATGGGAAATTAGAAAGTATTTCTAACTGAATGAAAGGGAAAACACATCAACATTTTTGGAATGAAGCTAAAGCAGTGCTTAGAGGAAAATTTTTAGTTGTAAACACCAATATTAGAAAAGAAAAAAAACTCAACTTAATAACCTAAATTTTCATTTTAAGAATCTAGAAAAAGATGAACAAACTAAACCCAATGTAAACTGAAAGAAGGAAACAGTAGATTAGAACTGAAATTAATAAAATGGAAAGCAGAAAATCAGTAGGAAAAACTGATGTTGGTTCTTTGAAAAGATCAACAAAATTGACAAACCTTTAGCTAGACCAACCAAACAAAAGAGAAAAGAGACAGATCAAAATCAGGAGGGAGGACCTGACCACCAACTCTATAGAAATTAAAAGGATTATGAAGGAATACTATGAACAACTTCAGGTCAACAAATTAGAAAACTTAGATGAAATGGACAAATTTCTAGAAAGGCACAAATTACCAAAACTAACTCAAGAGGATGAAGGCTAAACTCCATAGTCTAGTTTAAGGTCCTTCTGGTCTTGGCAGCCTACCCTTCAAGCTTTGTTTCCTGTCACTTTATAACATGAAGCATACATTCTAGCCACAAGGGAATACTTGCTGCTCTCCTAATATTTGCGTTTTTGCATGATTTTATGTTTTTGTATGCACTGCTTTCCTCATCTGGAATGTCTTTTTTACTGGAGAATTTCTGCACATCTTCTGACAAGTCTTTCTCTGATCTCCTTCCCAGCAAACCTAGCTCTTCCTTCCTTTAGAATCTTACTGAATACATTTTTAGTATTATGGCACAACCACATAGTATTATGATGACCTGCCAGCATGTAAACCTCCTTACTAGACTGTGAACTCCTAGAGGACAGAGAACCCGTCATCTTTATTTTTAGATTACTAACAGCTTATGTATAGTAGGTACTTAATAAGGTCCACTGTATGAACTGACGAATTCTTGAGGATTGGGTCTTCATCTCTTTGTTTTTTAATGTTTTTGCACAACTCTAAATAAATAAACTCTCAGCAATTCTCATACATGAACTCAAAATTTCACTGAAAGAGCAGCTCACCATCAATGGACAGGCTGTCTAGCAGGTCTTGGAATTCTTCTTCTTCAAGCTCAAAGCCCATATTTTCCATGAAGGGTTCTAGCTTATTAACATCAAGCTCCACTCCTTAGGAAAAAAGAGTATGGGAATGAAAAAAGCAAACAATAATGACAAAGTGAAAAATGCTAGGCATGTCCATGCATCGATTAGAGGGTGAACAATCAAAGGAACAGTAAAGTTGTTTAAGTGAAAAGAGCTATCACAGGTATTAAGAACAGAACCTACTCCTCATTTTTGTCCAGAGGATTTGATTATAGCTCTCATGGGACAGTTATATGGAAAAAACTAAAGAAATAGGCAAGTCTGATGAATTCTGGTAAGAAAGTGGCTTTGTAAGTCTATTCAGAAAATAAGACATGAAATGTAATGACAGAGACAAAAGTAATTTCTTCAAAGGTGGTTATGTTCAAAGTAGAAAACGATGAGACAAAAACAATAAACAAACAGGTTAGATTGGCAAATTTGACATCACTAAAAATAAATGCAGTTTTTAAAAAGTAAGTGCAAAACATAAACAGTCTCAATTTTACCTGACTTCTAACTCACCTTTGAGAGACCTTATGCCATCCAGCAACTTATGCTTATACAACTTTCCAGCAGCTGTAAGATAAAGCACAACACAGTAATTGAAAAGGACACCTGCTGAAATAATTAAAAACCCAACATTTCCAGAAGGAACAATCCTTATAATTTTACTCAAATTTCTTCTATTTATATTCCAGCTAAGAGTTAGGCCAAGGGCAGAAAGCTGTTAAGATAGGAAATCTACCCACTTTTCTTCTTCTTTTTTTTTTGGACAGTGGAAACAATTGTTAGTGTTACCTGGCCATACCTTTCTCATCTGATTTCTCCTTTTCTACTCCTCTGCTTAAGATCATGCATATTAATATTCTCAAGGATTATATTAGATCTAGTAGGACTTATGAGTGAAGAGATTGCGGATTCCTGAGCTAAAAAACTTAACGACTATGACAGGATGTCTTTGAATGTCAGTATTGAGAATTTCTATATATTTTTCGCGTGACATCAAATGGATGTTGTTTTAGATATTTCCATTGAGAAGCCCATGAAAATAAACTCTTCTCCAAGGTAATCCCTTAGTGAGATGTCATCTGTTGCCATCACAGGCTTCATATTTTACAGAAATACAAACATTGATTTCTATTCCCATATAGTTGGTGAACTAGCATGGATTTCTGGCTCCCTTCCCAGAGACCAACTCTGAAGAAACTGAAGTCTAAGTGAAAACTTGGATTTTAGGAACTAAGTGAAAAGTCACAGCAAAACCCTTGGGAAATGTAAAGCTGTAGTGGTGTGAGTGTGTGTTTATGTATCCTAGAGTGGAGGGCTTACAAGAGGTGACAGGAAAGGACCACCTGGGGAAACATTAAAGAAAAATTCTGCCCTTGCCTTTCTGTACTATGACCCTGAAGTTATCACTGCCTACTCCTGTCGTTACAGATAGCAGCAACAAAATCCTAAACCACTGGTGCAAGTATCTGGAAGGTAATATCAGGACAGCACATAAATCCTGCCAGAGCGAGGATCTAATGTAAACAGGTGAAGATTGACAAGCTGCCCTCAGGTATTTTATTCTCCACTTCTCTCCTCAACCATTAGGGCTGGTGGATTGCAATCTAGATAGACTGCCCTCTTCCAGTTCTACTTCTCTTTGAGTTTAAAGGTGAAACTCTGACCAGAGGTGTTGCCTAGAACAGTGTCAACTCAGGAAAATGATCAACACTGCCTGGGGCTCTCTGCCTTCTCCTTAAACACAACAGGCTGATGTGGATTGGAACCTGACTATTGGCCTTTACCTAAAGCACATTCCAAACACAGTAATGATCCCCCAAGAGAAGAAGGGCTCACAGAACCAAAGTAACTAGTCACTTGAGGAGTACAATTACTTCAAAAGAAAACAAACTGAATAATATATACCATTTGAATCAGAATTATTGGAATAAAAGGACCAGGAATTTAAAATAAGCATGATAAATATACTTAAAGAGAGAAGGGATGATATTAGCAAAATGTAATAAGAACAAGAAAGTACAAAAGGAATCAATGGAAATATTAGGTATAAAAAAGTTTGAATAAAGAAACACAGTAGATGGGATAGAGTGTGTTGGGGAGGAAGATATTTTCTTTACCCTCTCTGGCTTCTTCTGGCTGGAAAATGAATTAAATTCACATGAGACAGAATAACAGGAGAAAATTAAACAGAGCTTTATAACATGTATACATGGGAGAGGCTCAGGCAACCTGAGCAACTCGCCAAAATGGCCAAAGCCACCACCTTAAATATCATCTTCAGCTAAAGACAAAGGAGGATGTGGGGGGTGGGGGGAGTCAGCTACAGGAGGTTACCAGACAAGTACAGTAAATGAGAGTAAGATCATTATGCAGATTTAAGTCCTTGCCTTCCACATTGATTAAGAGTTTCTAGAGATAAGGTCATCCCCTCTTCTTCCTGGTACAGAGAGGGAGACACCTTTACAGATGAGATTTCCTTTACAATGTAAATGTCTCTTAACAAAGGGTAAGTAAATTCTACTTTTCAGTTTCTTTCCTGTCTGCAGTTTTTAAAAGTAACCAACTCCAAATAATCCTTATGCCAAAGAGACATATCTTGGGGTGGCCAATTCCAGTCCCCCACAAGTGCAATAGAAATAGCTGAAAAATTAATTAGTGGGCTGTTTGGTCAGATTGAGGAACTCTCTCAGAGGGCAGCAGAAAAGAACAAAAAGGAAGAAAACGGAAAATTATGAGATATGAATATAGAAGTAGGAGTGCTAATCTCTGGGTAACAGGAGTTCCAGAGGAGAGAAAATAAAAATGGCAAGGAGAAACTATTTGAAGAAATAATGAATTAAAATTTCCAAGATTAAAGATGAAAGACCTTATATTAAAAGTGCTCATAAAGATTCAACTGGAAAAGATAAGGAAAATTCCCAACCTAGACACATTATACTAATTTTAAAAATATCAAATAAAAAGATAAAATTCTAAAATCCTTCAGAAAGAAAAGTAGGTCATCTATAAAGGAAGAAAAACCAGACTGACGTCAGATTTCTCAACAATAATTTCAGATGCTGCAAGGCAATGGAGTAATATTATTTGAAACATTAAAAGAACTTTAAATTTACATACAAATTGTTATTTAAGCATGAGGACACAATAAAAATATTCTCAGGGATTTAAGGTTTAAGATTCACCACACAGATTCATATTGAAAATGGTTTTTTTAAAGAAAGCACTCAATAAGAAAAGCAAATGTAGGAGATGTTATAAGAGGTATGGAAAGAAAAAATGATCACATATCTTGGTAAAACTTATTGCTGATTTAAAAAGTCAAGAGGGGCCAGCCCCGTGGCCCAGTGGTTAAGTTCTCACACTCTGCTTCGGCAGCCCAGGGTTTCACTGGTTCCGATTCTGGGCACGGAAATGGCACCACTCATCAAGCCATGCTGAGGTGGTGTCCCACACAGCACAACCAGAAGGACCTACAACTAGAATATACAACTATGTACTGGGGGGCTTTGCGGGGGAGAAGAAGAAAGAAAGAGCAAGAGGAGGAAGAAGAAGAGGAGGAGGAGGAGAAGAAGAAGACGATGATGATGAATAAGATTGGCAACAGATGTCAGCTCAGGTGTCAATCTTTAAAAAAAAAGAAAAAGTCAAGAGAAAAAAGAGAAAGTATATTATCCATAATAATCCAGTCTGAAATGTTAGATAAATTCTCTCTCTTCATTCTTTTTTCTCTGTTTTCATCTCGCACAATCTCTGTCAATTTATCTTTGAGTTCTCCAATTTTTTCTTCTGCCAGTTCAAATATACTGTTGGGCCCTCTCTTGTAGTTTTCAACTCCAGAATTTCCAGTTGGTCCTTTTTAATAATTTTTCTCTTTATTGATATTTTCTATCTGATGCAATATTGTGATCATACCTTCCTTCATTTCTTTAATTATGGTTTTCCTTAATTCTGTGAACACATTTATAATGGCTACTTTGAAGTTGTTTTAGTTAGATTTGAATCTGGTCACTCTCATATGCAGTTTCTACTGTCTATGCCCCCACCTCTAGCGTATGGGTCATATTTTCCTGTTTCTTTGCATGCCTCCTGATTTTTTGTTGGAAACTGGAGATTTTAGATAATATATTGAAGCAATTCTGGGTACTGGTCATCCCTGTCTGGGTTTATTATTATTATTTGCTTTTTTATTTGTTTAGTGATTGACTGGATTATTTTATGAAGTCTGTCTCTCCTCCCCACTCCCTCCAACCCTCCCCTGTATGCACATGCACACGTGTGCACACACACGCACACAGCCTCTGATGTTGCTCTTCAGGGCTGCACAGCTTTGAGTAAGCCCACAGTCCTCCTGGGATGACGATGGTTTTAGTAGGACTCTCTTCTTCTCTTTCCCTGACCACATCCAGCTGTTAAACTCCACTAATTGCCACCTGATTGCTTTACTGTTTTCAACAATGCCCTGGTGCATAAATTGTTCCAATCAAATTCTGGCTCTTTTGAACTTATGGTTTCTGAGGTCAGTATTTGATAATTGTTTTGACTTCAGGGGGGCCCCTCCAAGCTGTGCTATTCCTGTTTCTCCCTACAAACTAGGCAGCCTACAGTCTAGACTGTATTTTCATTAAATCCACGCATCTCCTCCCAACTGCCTTTCATCACAACCTCGACTGTTCTTGAGAATGTCCTTAGGCTTGAATTTCTCAAGCTCTGTTGCAAATGAAGTCATTTCCTTTGGGAAGAGATTAGAAGCTCTGTGTTTTATGGCCTGCTTCTCCCTCAAGGCAAAAATCTCTAAACTAGGGCTTTGGAGCAGGGGGTGGAGACATTGGCGAGCTTCTCTCGGAGTGACACTTCTGCTCCAACAGCTGAGTGCTTAGTGGAGGAGGGGGTCAGCAGTCTGAAGTCCTCTCAGCTTGCCTTTCCTCTCACTGCCTCATGAGCTCAGGCAAGGGCAGTTGGGGCCCCATATTCTCAGTGTGCTGACAAATTGAAATGGCAAGCAACAGGATATATGGAGTATATGAGGAAGCCATTTGGTATAAACCTAATTCAGCCTGACTTTGTTTTTTCCAAAAGGGCTTGACTGTGGCCATTGAGCATGCATTGTATATCTGCTTAGACATTTTGAGATAAAGGTGCCACTTCCCTCCCCCTCCCAATGTGGGCATCTCCTTAAAGATTAAGCATCTTTCCTTAGGCTGGGAACTGATTGCAGTGCTCATCTGTGACCACCCAGCTCGAGGCAACAGACCTGCCACCCTGCGGGGTTCACGGAAACAGCAGACCTATCTGCTGTTTCCATCAATCGCTGTGCCAACGAGGCAGCCTCGTGACTATTGTAAAAGGGACATTTCAATCATATGTGAAACATCCTCTTTGAGGGTATATAACCACCCTGTTTACCCCCACTTCTTTGGAGTGCTCTGTTCCTTTGTGGAAAGACTCTCCCGGGTTATAATCCTCAGATTTAAGCTCAGAATAAACTCACCCAAATTTTCATTTATAGATTGGTTATGGATTATTTTCATCAACAGTTCTTGGCGTAGTCGGCAGGATTTCAGAGAAAC